GGGTCTGGGTTCGAGGAGGGTGCTCTAGCGTTCTCCGTGCTCGTTGGGTGTTCTTGCGCGTCCCGGGGGGGGGAGGGTGCCCTCGAAGGCTCTTCGGTTGGCCGGCGCAGGGGCCCGTGCTCCTGAGGGAGGTGCTTCTGCCCCAGGTCCGGCTGTAGGCTCACGGGGGGAGGCACCGACCCCCCAGACCCCCTCGAGTCATGAAAAAATCACGACGCGAGGTTTTTCGCTATTTTCGGCCTCTGGGGACCCTCACCGGCCCTCAGGACCGTCGAAAGACGACTCAGGATGAAAAGCCGGTCCCGGGGAAGGGGTCCGGGGTCGCGTCATGAAAAAATCATGACGTCGGGGGCCTGGGCCTCAAGCGCTCGCTCCTCGCCGAGGGGGTCCCGGTGGCCCACCCCGCCCAGGAGCGTGTGGCTTCGCCTTCGGGCTCCTACCGCCGATCCATCGGCAATGCATCGCCGATTCCAGCTCGATGGTCCCCCCGCCCCCCCTCCCTGAGCTGGTCCCAGACATGCGCCGTCCTGCTTTTTTCCATTTAGGGGTTCCTGGAGGTCCCGACCCGTTCCCCGGCACCGGCTTCTCACCCTCCGTCGTGCTCTTCTCACGGTCCGAGGCCCGGCGGGTGCCTCGCGAGGCCGAGAACGGCCGAAACCCGCCGTCCTGATCTTTTATTACGCCGCGGTCATGCCTGGGATCCCCTGGCAGTCGGCCCCCCTGGCAGTCGGCCCCTCTGCAGCTCGTTGCACGCGTGCAGCTCCTGGCGGTGCAGCAACCCGCCTCCCTCTTCGGCTTCCTCCTGGTCCCGTTCTAAGTGGCAGTGTTAGGCTTGCTCCTGGTAAATTAGGCCCTCGCGCGCCCCACCCGGACCCTGACTCGCCGCTGGCGCTCTCGCCTGCGGCTGCCGACAAAAATGTTTGGGGTCCACATAAAAAAATCCGGAGGTCCGCGCAGACGTCTCGGATCCGCGACGGGCTCCCTCCCTGGCAGGCGGAGCGCGCGCCAAAGGGCGGCGCCGGAGGCGCCGCCAGTGGGGTCCCGCGCGGATGCGAGAACTCCGCGCGGACCTCCGAGTTTCTTTCTGTTTATGCCATTCTTCGCCCCCCTGGAGCTGCCCCCCCCCCCCCCCCTGACCTGGCATCGCTGGGACCTGTGCATTTTTTCCTCCGCGAGAACCAGCGAGGACCCTGCCGGACCATCGGGCAAAAAAAACACGCACACGCACGAGAAATGTACGTCCGAGCGACGGCAAGCTGCAGACGTCCCAGACCCCCGACGTCATGATCTTTTCATGACGCGACCCCCATAGGTCCGGACCCGTTCCCCGGGACGAGCTTTTCATCCCGAGTCGTCTTTCGACGGTCCTGAGGGCCGGTGAGGGCCCCCAGAGGCCGAAAATAGCGAAAAACTTGGCATCGTGATGTTTTGATGACTCGAGGGGGTCTGGGGGGTCGGTGCCTCCCCCCGTGAGCCTACAGCCGGACCTGGGGCAGAAGCACCTCCCTCAGGAGCACGGGCCCCTGCGCCGGCCAACCGAAGAGCCTTCGAGGGCACCCTCCCCCCCCCGGGACGCGCAAGAACACCCAACGAGCACGGAGAACGCTAGAGCACCCTCCTCGAGGGGGTCTGGGGTTGCCCCGCAGGCCTCCGCGCGGGCCTGGCGCTGCTGCGGAGCGGTGCCGGCGCAGAGCCCGCGCGGGCCCGCGGGCTCGCCCGGCGGCGGTGCCCCGCCCGCGCCGCGGCCAACACGACGGCGTGCGCCGTGGGCCGGTCGTCGAGGGAGAAAGGTCGGCGTGAGGAGGAGGAGGAGGAGGAGGGAGCTCCTATCGGGGGAGCGTAAGACCCGGGTTTGCCGGGACTCGGGTTCGCCATCGTTTTTTGACGACCGCGCCTCGGATTTTGACGAGGAGGAGTTTCGTGGGAGGTCTGCAGCGGGAGGCCTCGTCAAAATGCAGGCTCGGCCTCGGCATTTTTTTGACGACCTCGTCGGGGATTTCCGAGTCCCCCGTACCCGGGTCTTACGTCTCCCCGATCCTACAGTCGAGTCGCAGAGCAAGGAGGAGTGACTTTCCAAGGCTGCCCTTGCATCCTGGCCCATTCGGCCCGTCTTGGGCGGCTTTCGCTGGCCAGCCCCAATCGAGCAGTGTCGGCATGCCTTCCAAGGCCCTTGCATCCTCATCGTGCGTCCTTCTTATGCGACTTGGCTGTAGCCGTTGCACTTGTTCCTCATACCGTTTCGCGAGAAGGCTCTAGAAGAGGTAATCAGGAGGGGCGGCCAGCTGCTGCGTCGTGGCTCAGAGGAGGAAGGGGTATCGGTACCGCTATCCTTGCTTCGTTTTCGCCTTTTTGGGCCTCCTGGGAGGCCCTCGTTGCCACGGCTGGATTCGCCTCGAATTCTGATCAGACCGTACCCCGGGAGAGGTCCGAGGAGTGCTGGTATTGCGAAGGCCTTACGGCCGGTGCTGCCGACTGTGAAGGGGACGACGAAGACGACGACGGCGACGGCGACGACGCTCGCTGGCCCTCGTGGGGGCCCTTGTGGGCACTGGTGGCCTCGGGACACCCCTGGACCGGACCGCCCCCAGCGATCCCCTCAAGGAACCGCCGCCGCCTGGCGGGGAAGAGATCCAAAGGTTCTCTCTTCGACCCGATTACGTTGGTGTCCCCCCTCTGTGCGGCTCTGAGGGGCTCACTTGTCAGGGGGGAAAAACACACACAGACACAATGAATCCTCGACTCCCATGAAAAGATTGGAAAATAAGGTGGGAAGTTGGGGGGGAAGACAATAACCCAGAAAATATGGGGAAATACGGAGAATCCTGTCATCTGTGTGTATCTATTTTCGTGTCCCAAGGCCCCTTCCACTTGGGCCGTCCTGGTCGGAGAAGGGGGGGGCCACGCCCCCAGGAGCCCTCCCCCCCCCCCGGGGGGTGGGGGGGCGCGACCTGCCGCGGGGCGTCCCTTCGAACCCCGTTGCGACGCCTGTCGATGTTCGCCTGGCTGGGCCGCTTGCGGAGGAGGAGGGCCCCGGGAGAGGGAGGGAGCGGCGATGGCGACGAAGGCTCGAGCGGAAGGGCGCCTCTCTCTCACACACTCGGGGCTCAGGAGACGGGGGTCAAGGCAGACAGGGGTCAGCCAGGGCACCGGATCCTGCAGGATCCTGCGAAGACCCCCTTTGGCTGACCCGGGTTAGCGAGCCGCTCCTGGCCGCGAGGCGGCCACGCACATGGGCTGACCTGGGCTTGCGAAGCCCTGCGCTGCAGCTCCTTTTTCCTGCTTTGCAGTTTTTTGGCTTCCTGCTGGCCCTGGTCTGAGTGACCCAGGTTCCCAGACCCCCGACGTCATGATTTTTTCATGACGTCGACCCCCAGCGGTCTGGACCCATCCCCCGGGACCGGTTTTTCGTCCTCAGTCGTTTTTTGATGGTCCCGAGGGCCGGTAAGGGCCCCCGGAGGCCAAAAATCATGAAAAACCTCCCGTCGTGATTTTTTCATAACTCGAGGGGGTCTGGGGTCTGGGCTCGGAGCCCCGCGTCCCGGGCCCGAGCCGTCGTGTTTTTTTCATAGCTCGAGGAGGTTTGGGTTCGCAGACCCCCGACGCACGCCGGCCGTGTCGGCGGATCCCCTCGCGGCGTGTCGCGCGAGGGCGCCTCCTGCAGGAGGCGCAGGAAGAAGAGAGGGCCACGGGAGACTCCAAGGGCTCCCACGAGGGCGCGAAGTTATTCGCGCTTCGCGCTTCGCCGTCCTCCTTCCTCCTCCCCCTCCTCCTCGTCCTCCTCTTCTCCCCCTTGGGGGGCGGCGCGAGAGCGCGAAGTTATTCGCGCTTCGCGCTTCGCGCAGCGCGAAGCGCGAACTTAGGAGCCCTTGAGACTCCCGGGGCGGGCGGGGAGCCTGGGGCCGCCTCCCTGGGTCGCCTGGCCTAAGTCGGGCCTGCCCCTCCACGGGGGGAATCATTACTCAAAGACAGTCAAAACTTGTCTGGGTACGATCTGTTGAATATATGTGTATATATATATATATGTATATAGTTTTTTTGTGCATGTTTGTGCTATGTTTAATCTTTCGTCCATCATCCGCCTGTAGGGGGACATGCCCGACCTGGCCCTCGATCGCTCGGTCCGGCAGCCGCTTCGCCCGAGATTCCCTGGCCGTCTATCCGGGAGCCGCCCTCTATCGCCCTAGGGCCGCTACATGTTCGGTCTTGGTCCGGGCGGCCTCGTCCCTGGCAAAGGACAAAACGCGACGGTGCACAGACCTCCTAATTACCCTGACACGTCGATTAGGGAATCAGCCGTTTTCGGTTCGCGAGAGGGCGTCGCGGCCGTCATTCTTGCGGGTCCAGGTCCGTCGGTTTCGGCCCCAGGCCGTTTTCACTAAGGGGAGGCTTACTAAAGGGAGACTTGTCCACCGCCGAAGCACGACGGTGCACACGGCCGTGCCCTCATCCCTTTTGGCACCGTCTCGCTGGCCGACTTCCTGCTCCTGGATCGGAAAAAAACCCCGGATTGCAAAGGATTGCAAAAAAACCCTTGAACGAAGGATTGCAAAAAAACCCAGGGTTTTTGCAAAAACAACAAAAACCCGGGTTGTTTTGCAATCCTTTTTGCAATCCTGGGTTTTTTTGCAATCGCGCCTCCTCCATCCTCGCTGCTGTTTCTTGGGATGCTCCGCTGGGCACTTGTTACACCGGGAGCCGTCGCCCGGTCTCGGGCCCTGGGGCCCTCGGAGCTCGGCCCCGCTCGCAAGGTGCAGCAGGCAGACGGGGGCTCCGATTTCTCCGTGACGTCGGATCTCAGGGTGCGGTACAGTACCGTCTTTAATGCATGCTCCGCGTGCGGATCGTGTATCAAACATGCAGGGATTCGGTATTAGAAACAACGATGAGTTCATGCACACATTTACTCATGCATTAGACATGTATTAGACATCCTATATTTTTTAAACATCCAATGTATTAAAAACTGCCCTGTATGTTCGCGTCGTGTCGACGCGCGGCTG